CACGTTCTTTCTCCCAAAGAAAAGAATGTAAGGTTGCTGAGATCTCTTCCAACTGAGTGGTACACCAAAGCCACAGCCATGGAAGAAGGAAGAAATCTGGAGAACTACACTGTTCAAGGTCTTCTTGATGAGCTCGGAACCTATGAGCACGAGCTGAAGAAGAAGAAGGAAGAACAAGTCACTCCCTTCCCCACGGCACTGATGACAACTCCAAGAGTCCCATCAAGTGAAGGGACATGCCCAAGGAACTGTGACACACCCTCCTCCAGCCAGCCGTCAAGTTCAAAAATGGAGAACTACGATGAGGAATTTGCCATGATGGTCAAGCAATTCCGGAAGTTCAAAAAGTTCCTCAAGAAAGCTGACTCAGTCAGAAGGCCATCCAAGGGAAAGCCACAGGTAAGTGACTCCCCTCCTGAATCTTATTTGTGTTACAACTGCAGGAAGCCTAGCCACTGGAAGTCAGCATGCCCGTACCCAAAAGTGGAGAAGTACGGAGAAAGAGAAAGGATTGAGAAGAAAAAGAAGGCAATGGTTGCTGCTGAAAGTGACGAGTCATCCAGCTCAAGCTCGGATGAAGAAGCTCTCGTCTGCATGGAGCGCAGAGCTGAAAAGTCCAATCATGAGGATAGGTGGACCATGTGAGAAGATGACACTCTCTGCCTAATGGCCAAAGATGATGCTCATCAAGAGGTAACCTCACAAACCTCCTGCGCATCTTCTTATGAAAGCATACCAACTTCTGAAAATCTTTTTGACCAGTTCAAAAAGATGATGAAAGACTTTGAGGAGATAAATCTCAAACATTCTTCATTAACAGAGGAGAACAAACTATTGAGTGAAGAGAATCTCAAGTTGACTGAAGGTCGGAAAAGTCAACTGAATGAGATCACTCAACTCAAGACTGAAAATGAATCTCTCTCTGAAAAGGTGAAATCCCTTAACAAAGAACTAGGGACTCTTAAGTCAAAAGAGGCAGTGGATAAGCTTCTTGAAACGACCAAACATAAGGGTCGTGAAGGACTTGGGTTTGACTCCTCTAGCTCTAAAAGGAAAGGGAAAACAACTTTCATCCCTCCTAAACCTACTGCTAAACCAAATAAGCAGAAAGGGAA